GAAGAGGCTGCCAGCGAGGAGCCGCCTCTTGACCTCTCTCCAGAGAAGGTCCCGCTCCCGGTTTGCCCTCTGCATGAAGCCCCTGTTCTCCTGGGCTCTTCGGGACAGGTAGGGCAGCACCTCGTTCACCGGCCCGTAGGGCACGTACTTGTAGACGGGGAAGCCGGCCTGACCTGGAAGGAGAGAGGCGGGTAACGGAAGAACCAAAAAAGAGGGAAAAAAGAGAGGGGACCAAAGAGAGGGGAGAAGCCTCCACCCCCAGCTCTCCCGCCTCCCTCAGGCTGTGCTGGTGGAGCAAGGGATGGTGGGCAGGAGGATGGGGTTGAGCACTGGGGAGGGGAAACCCAGGAGCAGCTCCATCCATCCCCCAGCTCAGCACGGGGAGCTTGGGAACGCACCGGGGGAGTGGGACGAGGTCACCAGGAGCCCTGGGAATGTTGGCAGCCAGGGCTGGGCCAACGCAAGAAACATTCAACCAGAAACGTCAAGTTAACACATTTTTCCAGCATGACCAGAGGAGGTTGCAGACAGGCAGCCAAACCCCACTTGTGAGGGGAACTCCAGGACAGAGCAGCATCCATGCTGGACAGCTGCCCAGTCTGCCTCCCGCTGCTCTCCTGGCCTTGGGTCTCCACTCCAGCCACTGGTGTGGGCAGTCCCTGACCTGAGCTGGGCTACCTGGACCCTTGCATGTCCCTCTCCAGGCCCTTGGGAGCTCTGCTCTCCTGCCTGGGTCAATGGCACAGGAGATGACAATCATAGAATCCCAGACTGGTTTGGGTTGGAAGGGACATTAAAGCTCATCCAGTTCCAACCCCCCTGCCATCAGCAGGGACACCTTCCACTAGACCAGGTTGCTCAAAGCCTCAGCCAACCTGGCCTTCAACACTTCCAGGGAGGAGCAGCCACAGCTTCTCTGGCCAACCTGGGACACTGTCTCACCACCCTCACACCAGAGAATTTCTTCCTCACATCTCATCTCCATCTCCCCTCTGCCACTTTCAAGCCATCACCCCTTGTTCTGTCACTCCCTGCCCTTGGCCAAAGTCCCTCCCCACCCTTCCTGGAGCCCCTTCAGGTACTGGGAGGCTGCTAGAAGGTCAAGAGCCTGTTGCCCCCTGCTAGTAGAAAGCCCAGGACTCAGTGATGCTCCCAGACCAAGGAGGTACAAAAGGGGTTTGCTGTGGCCAGAACCTGTCTCTGCCCCATCTAAGAGTACGCCCATCTCAGCTTGTAGTCCAGAGCAGGAATCTCCCTGCCCAGCCATCACAGTCTCATGGGGCCTCTAGGAGACAGATGTGATTCTCCATCTACATCTTCCCCAAACCCCATGCAGGGGACACAGCTGGGTAAGAGGCAACAAGGCACCATCCTCAGCCAGTCCTGCTCCCTGAGAGACCTGTAGCCTGGCTCCATCCACCCTTCAGACCCCACAGCAGTTGCTCAGGGAGAGTCCAGGGGTCAAGGTGGGGCAGGAGCACGTCTGCTGAATCCCCCCTGCTCCCAGCACTCACCCAGGGGGAAGGTGATCTGGTCGCACATGCCCAGCAGCTGCCCAAAGCACACCTTCTTCTCCGAGGGATGGATCCCAAGCTCCATCATCCTGCAAACCAAGCCTTGGCATTAGGGAGGAGTGGAGATAGTGGAGCACACAGGGGAAGCACGTCCCACCAGAGGAGCAAGGATCATCTACAAGTACGAGAGCATGGCACTGATTGCATCCCAGATGGATGCTGGGATGTGAAGACTTGAGGGATTTGTTTTTAAAACAGCCTGTGAGCTGGGCCATGGGGCCAGCTCTGCAGCCACCGTGGGCTACCATGCTGCACCCAGCTCCAAGCCCCAGCTGAAGCACCGAGCACTGGATGGGAGCTGGGATCCCACAGGTGAGTGTAAAGGAGACCTGACAAGCCACAGCACATTTCACCACAGCTCTGCTGGGCCCTTAGCCCCCTTGAGCCCCCAGTCCCTGCCAGACCATGCTGCCTCCCCAGCGCCCACCTGCGCAGGGTGAACTTCACCGTGTCCTCATTGTGAGATGCCACCATCACACTGGCTTTCCGGTTGTGCTTGATCTCCTCCAGGATATAGTCCAGGCACCTGTAGGACAGTATGGGGCTCCGTGGTGAGACTGCCTGAGCCCACATCCAGTGGGGTGGGAGGAAGAAATGTGGCTGGGGCTGTCCCCTACCTGTGGTACATCTCATTGGTCTTCTCATAGGTGGGGTTGATGGGATCCTCGTAGCCAATCTGGGCCGCCCTCTCCCGCTCCTGCTCCATGTAGGCGCCGCGGACCAGCTTGGTGCCAAAGTGCCAGCCCTCTCGGCGTGACAGCTCCACGTCCACGGTCACATTGTCGTAAGCCTCCTGGGACCAGATGGAGGAGATGGCACAAGGTCATTGCACCAGTGCCACATCTGCCCTGTGCCTTCAGGCAGCCAGCCCCACAGCTGTGCCATTGCACTGCCATGGCTTTGGTAATGAAGGGTTCCCACCACTCCAGCTGCTCCAGCAGGTCCTTCTTGCCCAGACTCCTGCTGGACCTCACCTTCAGGTAGCACTGGTAGGTGTTGAAGATGATTGCCCGATCCCTGTTGAAGCGGCGCTGCATCTCCAGGGTGAGGCGGCTGATGGCTGGCTGGAAGTAGCTCTGCTCTGCGTCCACCATCAGCCTCACGCCCTTCTCTGTGGCTCTCTAGGAGGGTGAAGGACATGCAGGTTGGTCTGATGGGGCCACCTGCCATGTACCCTCCCTCACTGTGGTGGTGCCTGCACCCAGCTCCCCCAGCCCCAGCACCCCCTCACCTTGGCAAGGATGTCCATCCGCTGCAGCATCCGCTTCATCTGCAGGTCCTCCTCCTCGGTGAAGCGTGAGAGCAGAGGCTCGAGCTGCCCAGTCTGAAATGAGAACAGCCTGTGGCACCTGCCTGCCTGCGGCCAGTCCTCCCCACAGGAGACAAACCTCCACCAGTGAGGCCTGTGTTGGTGTCCCAAGGCAGGGAGGAGGCAAACTCCCCAGAGGGATGAGTCCTTGTGGGACCCTTAACTTGGAGCAGCAGCAGGGGACAGGGCTGGGCTGCCCTGCACAGGCAGTGCCCACCCTGTGGGGACACTGCAGGGGTGGCAGAAATGGGTACCCACCTGCATATTGGGGATGAGCAGCAGCTTGGAGAGCTTGGTGCGGCTGTCGATCAGACTGTTCCAGTCTAGCAGGTCCACAGTGCTGGGAGCAGAGACACAGGTCTGTACTGGTGTCCCACATGGGCAGGGGGGTCTCTACCAGGTCCTGACCCCCACCAACAAACCAGGGTACACCTGGCATATGCCACCCTGACCCATCTTGTCACCTCCACCCAAACCTCCTCTCTGCTTGCTCACTACACTGAGCCAGCACTGGCCTTTGGAGACCTCCCCGTGCTGCTGCCCCACTGCCCCAGGAATGAGGACAAGGATCCCCAGTGTCCCCATCCTGCAGCACCCCCAGGTCACAGGCAGCTTACCCGCTCACACCCAGGTTCTCGCCTGTGAACCAGTGCTGGCTCTCTGCCTTGGTCACGATGCCCAGGTTGGCCAGGGCCTCCTGCCACCAAAAGAAGCATCAGTGTCAAGGGGCTACAGGTGTCTTACTGTTCCAGGGGTGTCACAGGTCAGGGCTGCTCCAGGACTTCTATGGACACTGGCCACTTCCAGCAGCACGTTCCCAGCAGCACAGCCTCCTCCCTCTGACATCACCTGCCTCACCTGCAGCTTCTCCACCTCCAGCTTCATTTCCACCGCTGCTCGCCCAGCCTGGCCCTGCTCTGCGGCCATTTGGTGGAAGAACCTCCGCCACTTCACCAGCACCTCTGAGAACTGCAGCTGTAGTGACAAAGCCCAAGGTGAGACACCTGGGCTGGAGCCCAGCTGGCTTGGAGCTTCCTGCAGTGGAGGCTCTGCAGGATCATGCCTAGTCTGAGGCAGACCCTGATCCTACAGCAGAACGACCTTGGCCAAACAGGGGCCAAGCCTAGCAGTAGAGACCCCCCCCACCCTCATATTGGGACCTCTAAACTTCTGAGCTCTTCATGTGTCCCTAAAAGTTGAGGCAGGGTCTCCAGGGTGGCCTCAGGCACACAGGGGACAGCCTGTTGGTGCCCACTCCTCTGCCATCAGTAGAGATGCCACTGCAGCAAGCCTGGCACCCCAAAGCCCTCCCTAGATGCATCATCCGTTGCCCTGCCCCTGACCCACCTCACCCTGGTCACAGCCCCAGCACTCACCAGGAACTGAGGTCTGCCCAGTGCTGTCAGCTTGATGGCTGAGAAGCCGTCCTCTGAGCTGCCACCTGGATGGAGCCACAAAGACAGAGCTAGCCCAACAGGCAGGGTGCTGGGGCAGAAGGGAGGTACCCGAGATACGGTGGTGGGCTGCAGGGTCCCTGCCATCCCCAAGCACAGTGGGGCTGCTCAGGACATATGGAGCACCTACCTGAAGCATCAATGCAGCGGAGGAAAGTCTCCATGTGCTGGTCACACTTGGCCTCATCAGCGTAGAAATATGTGCGGGCGCTGATGACCCCACCGCGGCGATCCGCAAATCCCCGATGGGCTCGGTATTGCTTCTCTCTTCGCTCTGCTCCTGGAGTGGAAGAGGATGGAGATGGGCCATGCAGCCCTGCTGAGCTCCTACAAGCCTCCCCAGGAGCTCCTGCCATGGGTGCAGGGGAGAGGGGCTCCAGCTTGGACCTCAGAAGAGCCCTCCAGGCTGCAACATGCCCTGCCTGCTCTGTTGCTCAAGCAGGGGCTGAGCCTTTGCAGAGGAGCAGGGTTGGCCAAGAACCAAGATGTTCATCTTGTTCTGAGGCTATGGGAGCTGGGTCCTTCCCCCACACCAGGCCTGTAGGATCAGCTGGACCTTCAAACTATCTCCTGTCAGCCGGAGAGGCCGGTTCACTCACCTCCCATCTCCTTCTCGGCTGCAGAGGTGCAGGAGCTAAGAAGAGAAACAGGGAAGATAAGGGCCAGGTCAGGAACTCCCCCACAACCCCATGATGGTGGCCAAGGCAGCTCCAAGGCACTCCTGCTGCCTGCCTGGCGCTGCACCCAGCTCTTCCCTTGCCATCCCATCTCCAATGGATCAAATGCTGCTCAGCACGTGCTCCATGGGCAGGTCAGATGGCCCAAACCTGCTCATGGATGGCAACGGGGTTTCAACATTGAGGCAAGGATGGAGGTCCTGGGGCAGCATAGGGAGGATGCTCCTTGCCAGGGTCCAGAGCTGCTCTCAAACAGCCCACCCCATGGCAAGGACAAGATCAGCCCTGGTGGGGCTGGATGCTCCATCTCCAACCACACCAGCCCATGGTCCTCACTGTGGTGGCACCAAACCTCAACCCAACATCTCCCCACCTTGCAGGCACCAGAAGCCAGACCATGAAGCAGGGATTTTCTTCATACCCAGGGCACATCAAACAGTAGGATGCCCAGCTGCAGCTCAGCTGGCCCATGCTCCTCTGCCCCTGGCATTAGCCAGCATCTTATGAACAAGGTCTCAGCTTCAACTCCAGCTGACCTCGGATGTAATTTCATGCCCAAGTTCTTTGCCACAGAAATAACAGCGCTCTGACAGACCAGGGGGACGCTGGCCAAGTCATGAGATTCTCCTTCAGCTTGAGCAGCTAAGCCTTCTCGCTGGCACCCTAAATCCAGCCCACAGGCCCAGGGTCTCACCAGGAAGACTGCCAACTCCTGGAGAGCAGCCCTGAGCAACAGCAGAGCCATCTCCAGGAGATCTCTGCCTTGAGTCACTGTCCCAAAACTGTCTGTGCCCAACAGTGGGGAAGCACACTGCCAGCCAAGCAGCAAAACCACCCATCAGGAGCCAAAGGACTTGCACAAGAGAGTGGAGAGGCACGTGGCATGGTCCCAGAACATGTTCTCCCGCATCGAAACCCTGTGACAGGGATTAGGGGCTGCTGGAAGCATAAACAAGCAGAGACAAGCCCGTCCTCCTGCTCCTCAGAGCCAGAAACAGCCCCACATTGCTCAAAGCACACCAAAGCCTGGTGTGAACCAGGGCAGGAGCAGCTGGAGCTCATGGGGAGCAGCAGGCACCACATCCAGCAGGCTCTGCTCCATGGTTTTGTTACTATAGTACGTCAAGAAGCTTTCTGGTCCTGGATACGGAGGGTGGATAGAAGGAAGGAGAGGAAACTTCATACACCCAGGGATGGGATGCAACAGCAAAGCCCATAGCAGCTGGAAGGTCCCCTTGGGGTAAGCAGGGCGGTGCAGGGGAAGGCTTTAGCCTGGAGAAAAGGAGGCTGAGGGGAGACCTTGTGGCTCTGTCCAAGTCCCTTGGAGGAGGGTGGAGAGAGGTGGGGGTGGGTCTGTTCAACCAAGGACCAAGGGACAGGACAGGAGGAAATGGCCTCAAGTTGTGCCCAGGGCAGTTGAGATGGGATGTGAGGAAAAACTTCTTCACCGAAAGGGCAGTCAGGCATTGGAACAGGGTGCCCAGGGAGGTGGTGGCATCACCTTCCCTGGTGGTACTTAAAAGAGAGGTAGACAAGGTGCTGAGCAACATGGCTTAGAGGTGGAATTGGTAGTGTTGGGTTTATGGTTGGACTTGATGATCTTAAAGGTCTTTTCCAACCACTATGATTCTATGATACGCTGCTGGGACTCTAAGGAGGCGTCAAGAGGTGTCAAGGTCCCAGTTACAGCACAGCAGGACAGCTCTGAACCCTGGAGCACACCTTGCATCTAACATCTGAGATGCTGGGGACAAGTGGCATGGAGCAAGCTGTCACCAGAAAGGAGCCACCTGCAAGGCACCTGGGAGCTCCCTCTTGCTCTAACCAGACCCTCCAAGTGCTGCAAAACAGGCTCTGAAGACTCGGTGCAGCCCGCTGGATTGCTGGGAAGAGTAATCCAGCTGACACAGCAGACTTGGGCTTTCAGGAAGTTTTTGATCAGGCTCAAATAAATGGTTTCAGAAGCACAAAGGTCCCCCTGTCAGAAATAAGTAGGCAATAATCCGTTTCTCCTTGGAGGTTACCAGGAGGGTGCTGTGAGCACAGCGTATTTGCTTTGCTCAGCAGCAGATGGGTCTGACAGAGGGGTTGAGGGACCACCAGGGAGAAGTTGTCACTGAGTTACTACTGAATCCAAGGCAAAACCCATGGTCACATGAAGCCCAGACCAGAGCTATGGGTGATGCCTGAAACCCTGCAGGTAGGAATAAAGTAAAGCTCGTGGCAGAAGTGAGTCCTTCAATGCACGAGGTGCCAGCACACACCAGCCCAGGACCACCACGGGACCTCCTTGCACAGCTTCAAGCTAAACAGAAACCACCCTGTGACCCTGGGGACCCACAGCACATGCGAGCAGAGCACTGGGCACGGGTGCCAGCAGCACTGGGATCAGGAGGAGAAGGGGAGGAGATGGCTCTGGGAGGCTGATTGGCCCAGCTCGATCATAATCCCACGCTCGGGCAGATATCAGTTGCCCACGCAAGAAATCTCTAGAGAAAGCGAAGTCCACATGCTGAGTGGCACTGTTGTTCAGGGTGCCTGACAGCACTGGGGGGCAGGAATGTCCTTCCCCATGTCAGCAGAACCCCAACCCATCTCCTGGCTTAGGATGCCCATGGGCCAGCAATGGCCCCAAGGAGACCATGACCACCTCCACTAAAGGGGGGCTCCTTGTTTCACCCCACAGAAGCCCCCACCCAGCTGCAGTGCTGCCCCTCCACACCCCACCTGGGGCTGCACCCATCCTGTAGCCCCAAACCCATGGGCTGCCCTGGGAGTGGATCAGCACCCAGGCTCTGCTGTCTGCAGGACACCTTCCTCCAGCCGTTGTCACCACGACCTGGCAGCAGCCTTCAGCACATGGTCAAGGACTCCTGGGACAAGCTGGCAGAGCTCTGGATGCCAGCCCAGGCAGGGCAGGGCAGGCAGGAGCCT